CTTCTTCTTCGTCCAGTGTGTTCTTTGTTAGCTGCTCCTCGATCACGCCAGTGGGATCGAGATTATCCTTCGTGGATTACTCCGCCATTGGTATCTCGTCGCTACCAACAGAAGTCGCCATTCGACTTTGGGTTACCGTCGCCAACCAGGATTCGTGGAGAGCACGTCGTTCGCCCACCTTCTCTGTCGAGCAAAGCTCTATGATTGACAAAAGAACTGTATTGAAACTCTTCAGTAGATCTCTAAACTTCTAGCTCACAAAGGGTCAGAGCACTATAGCTTTTCAATGAGAAGCCTCGCAGTTACCCTATTCTTCTTGGAAAACTTTAGGTTTCTCGAAAAACTTTAGGTTTTCCACCGCTCACCAAACCCTCGCTAAACGAGAGAAAACCGCTGTTATCACTTTAACACCTTCGTTGGCTTAGAGATATTCTTGTAAGGAAAGAAAATGAATTTTAGTGAGAACATGATAAGGAGATTGAAACCCAATTTATGTTTCTTGCTTTCTCATTGAATTAGTAAATTTTCATAATATTTTGGGTAGTTCTCGTCATTAAGAAGATCCTCTACTTGAGAGCGTCGAACAACATATCCTATAATCTGGAAATCGAAGATTCAGCATGTAGAATTACACTACAGAGGTAACAAATTGAGCTACCAGGCAATGACACCAACGAGCAACAACCTTATCCATGAGTTCCTTGGACAATCAGAGATCACTATAGATAAGTTTGGATTCCATGTAATGAAGAAGACTGTGCTCTGTAATAGGGCTGGCCGTCGGTTAGTTTAGGTTATAACCGGTAAACGACCGGTCGGTTATCGGTTGATCGAACTGCCGGCCCCCATTAGCGACAACCGATCGACATAATACCTCGGTTAACCGACAATGACCAGTCGGTTACCGGTTAGTTGTTCGGTTAACCAAGATAACCGATACAATGCATTTGGTTCATATTTAAACCGGGTAACCGAACCGAAACCGCCTCCATGCATGAAAAATCGCTAAAATTGTCTAAAATTAAAGGTTGTCGGTTATGTTCAGTTAACCGGATAACCGATTGGCGGTTAGTCGGTTAACCGATAATGACCTGAAGGCTACCAACCATCGAGTGACGAAAGTAACCATCAATTTTCGATTAGTAACCGGCCGGTTATTAGTTATCCGACCGATTAACCGCTAACCGGAAACCGAACGGCCAGCCCTACTCTGCAACATTGAAAAGGCCAGCCTAGGCTTTTTTTACAAGTACCAGTATCCTAACGATGCAAAGTGGCAGCACCGTTGCAAAGACAACACTGACGATTTCTATTGCACATCATCAATTAGTTCGTGATCGCACGATCTGATCATAGGTTTAACTTTTTCGACCCTCCAATTAAGTGGTTGATTAATTGATTACGCTTAAGATCAGGGAAGGTAGAATTGGCAACAGTGTATTCCATTTCACCACCAATTTCTAGGCTACCTCTTTTTACCAACAACTCCTTTTTGTCTAATAGCTACCATGCATGTGCCCATTTCTAGTATTACTACCACGTTTCTTGTCGCAGAAGCCAGACAGACAGTTCCTCTCCCGGGGACTTGTTCATGTTTCATAAAATAACCCAGCCCTGCAACATCTGAACCATCCGATACCTCAAAGAAACCAAAATGAAAAGAAACCCAAAGCAAGAAAACGCATCAATTAGGCGTCAATTTAAGGTCTTCCTTCGCATTCTTTCATGCACAAGTACATTATTTTTTTTACCCCAAGGAATTAATCTGGACATAAGACAAGTACAATTTAGAGTAATTCTGATTTCTTGATTCCCAAGCAGCTAGTTTGAAGGCTTAATTATGAGCTCTGCTGCTTTAATTTACACATATCTGGTGCAATGGTCCTCCTGGAATGTGTGAATAACTTGGAAGTCAGTTTTGAGTTGCTAGTTAGTTTTATATTGATAGAGTTGTTTGATTATATTGGTTGGCTTTTGCTTTTGTAGCGAAACCTATTCGAGAAGGAATTCGCTATTATGACTCTCGTGTCTAATGATTTTTTTTATTAAACGCAAACACATTATTATTTATTAAATACTAAATTCCTTAACTATTGGTGGACTAAAAGAAGTTTGGAGTTTAGACAAATTTTTCTTCTTCTTCTTAATTTTGTTGAAAGAGGTGCAACACGGGAAATGTTATAAACACGAAATCATCTTTAACTATTAGTAATTGATTGTTGTAATAAAAGGATTCCGATTGATCATTGCTGAACAACTTTTATATACATAGCGAGTCAACAAGAAAAGAGATAACAACCTAACGGATAAAAGGAAAATGTACACATTGGTACCTAAACCTATTACACATATACTAACTAGTTCTACAATATAACATGACATCACCTAATAATGTTTTGTTAGGAGGTAACTTATTTTAGTACTACTTTCATCCATATATGTTTTTTTTAGGATGGGTTACTATTCCGTTTCTATGGATGGAGTAATTTTTGATAAACCGCGCCAATAGAGTCTTTATGCATTATAATTAATTTGACCATTTAGGTCAAGGTACAAGGTTTGATCTTTCCCTTCTTGTTCCTCGTCATAATTTGTTTCTTTCTCGGCTAGTAGCCAATATTCTATTATGCCTTCTGAAAATCAAAGAAATAGACCAATGTTTCTAGGTCATCTAATGAGACTAATTAATATAAGTACTTGGAAATGACTAATCCGACTTGTGAAACACAATAATTGCATTCTCTGTCACAACCTTGGCACTTAATTTACTTCCCCGCCCCTGATTTTGTATAATTTGTTTGCTATAAAGTCGGTTGATAATTATGTGCATCGTGAGAAAACTCAGTACATCGAAAACAATTGTCACATAATAAAACCGTTATTGCTCTTGTAAGTACGTAAAGTTCTTACATATATTCTCTTTCAAACCAATTAGAAATCAGCTAATGCTCTTGTATAGGGAGCCCTAGACCCTCATTGGTTCTATCTAATCTATCTCTATAGTTCTCTTTCAATAGGAAGTGATCTACAGTTAAGATAGTGACGGGTACATTAAAGTTTTGAGCAAAGGATTACTTGTTTCCTAGACTCTATTCTTAGCTTCGACTTGCAAGTAATCACAGTAGTACGAACAAAATCCAGATAAGGAGAATGTTATTTCCAGAGAAACTAATTACAAGTCAAGTGTCATAATAAGATTGGTAGTAAACTAATTATAATAAGAAAGGATGAAAAGGAAAGGATTATTGAGTGTTACTCTATACTTTGCTTGAGCTTGCACATCACAGCAGAACAAAACCCATATGAAGAAGAAGGGGGAAAGGCTGACGAGGGTTTCTGATTCCTGATTCCTGATGGAGAGTGGTTGGTCGATCGGAAAATTTGGCAATGCGTGTAACAGTAAGACATTGGGATCTGATAATTGCCTCTCTTTTTTTCCTTCTTTTTTTCCAGCTGGGATGGGAGCTTTATATTTTGACAAAATCGGCAAACCTAGCTTCTTTTGGCTTTCTTTCAACGTAAAATATTTTAACTTGCATAGCTTTGTTCTATTTTATTCAGTCGAAGGGCTTGCTTTCGGTCACAATCATGGTCTAAATTCGACCAAGTTGATACCTTTTCGTAGCTTAATTGCCGGGGTATGTCCCTTTCCCCGGTTGATATATAGTAGTTATTCAAACTCATTCATCCCTTCATCAAACTTTTTCTAAAGGCATAATTCAAAGGAGAGCTACCCACACCTTACTCTCCGAATTTGAAATTTAGTTGGAGTTATTCCTCCCACCCATCCATGCATATGCTATTTATGCACTAGTAATCCTCGCATAAGCTTTTTGTTTTTTGTTCCTCCTAATTTCCGAGCAAAAGATTTGTTGAAATCTCTGATTATCATTCCTGCCCAATTTTGAAGGGATATATATTTTCGTAATTATAATTATTGAGGATATTTGAAAAATCTAATTTGTTTCCATGACTGAAAAATATTTATCACATATTCACTGCATTCAAGTTATTTAGTTTGAAATTTCTTTCATTTTAAGTTTAAGAGAATATAAATTATGTTATCTTATGAAATGTATGTTGTAAACCCATTGAACCCGTCGATCCCGCGCAAACCGTCTACCATCAGCAAACACCAAACCCATCGACATGTACATCTTAGATGAATATATGTATTATGTTTTTCTTAATCCACCACGTAGTGGGTGAATCCAAACTTATCCAAATTCACATAAAATCACTCACTCTTCATACTCTTTACGTGGTGGGAAGCAAACAAAATGAAAAGTAACTCATATGTGGGATTCAAACTCTTTTATACCCATGCTGCTAGATCCAAATTTCGTACAACTAATTGCAAGTTTACTACTAATTCATAACTCCTCCATTCACCAAAGAAGCCGCTTCTCATTTCTGTGATAAAAGCCAAAAACGGTGCACATTTTCTTTCGGTCAAATCATCCCTTATTTATTATTTGCCTTCCCCTGTTTTCCCGTTTCCGTTTTTGCCTGGGTCAAGAAGAAAGAGACACCGGACCGGTTAAAAGCAGGAGGGCCAATCCGTCAAAACGACAATCAACTTGATTGCCCAACTACAAACCGATTAGATTACCCACTTGTCGACCTGATTAACAAATATCTAAACTGAACCGTCAGCCAAAATTCCCAATCTAACGGCCGTTACAATTCCAACGGAGTTTTGATGAACGGGACATTCACGACAAGCAAGCAGGCCCCCAAGAGAAGACTCTTCAACCGCGGGGCCCAGTTTCCGGCCCAATACATCAAAATTATAAACGTACTGTTTTGCGGGGAATCTTTACTGCCCGAACAAATATCTGACACACAGGCGCCTGCCCGTACTCCCCACTCACTCACTGTCAAGGTCACCCGTTTCGGGCAGCTCCCCGGAAAAAAATGAGATAATAAAAATAAAATAGGAAACCAATCGACTTTGCTTCCCATTCATCCTCTCGCTCGCTCGCAGTAAAGACAGTCCTACTTATATATAAAGACGCTAACTTTTTCTGCCTTACCTCCTCTCCTTTAAGAGCCTAAACCGGAGAGAGAGAGAGAGAGAGAGCCCTCAGCCAGCGACCACTTCCCATTCGGAGAAGTGCGGCAATTAGTACTGGCCTCCCCCCCTTTCTCCTCCGGTGGCTGAACTGCGGCGGCGGAGCAGGAGTTCGACATGGGTCAGCAGCTGAGCTGCGTCGCGAGTCAGGAGCACGGGGAGCTCTTCACCGCCGTGCAGTTTGGTGAGTTGGAAATCGTGAAGATTATGCTGGACAGAGATCCGTCTCTGCTTCACCAAACCACTGTCTACGATCGCCAGTCTCCCCTTCATATCGCCGCTGCCAATGGCCAGATCGAGGTGGGTTCTCGCCGGATTCTGCTGTTGCTTCATTCCGATGGGTCAAGAGTGGCGGGCTGGGCTTCTCTGTTTTGCTGTCTTTTCTGATTGGATTGGGTAAAAATGGCATTGGGTAACAATTTCGAGGTGTTTAATTTTTTTGTTGTTGTTGGGTTTCCGATGCTGCAGATTTTGTCGATGCTATTGGAGCGATCCGTGGATCCAGATATTGTGAATCGTCACAAGCAGGTAAAAGGAAAAAAAGCTTTTTGGTTCATGAGATTCACAAGTGGGAAATGAAATGCGCCCCTTCCAATGCCTGCCAACTGTTCGATGATATGAGCTCTTGTTTGTTGCTGTGGCGTTTACTTGAAGCCAATTTCTAATTTTGGTTTTTTCCCCCCTTCTCTTGATCGCCGAATCTTGGCATTACAGACTCCACTTATGTTGGCCGCAATGCATGGGAAGATCTCCTGCTTGAAGATGCTGATTGAGGCTGGGGCAAATGTAAGCGAGACAAATTTTACAATTTTCTTATCCTTGCTTTTTTTTGCACCAATCGTTTGAGATAACTTATGGAAGGGTAAATCCGGATGTGATGACCAGATATTGAAGTTCGATTCCCTCAATGGACGGACTTGCTTGCACTATGCTGCCTACTATGGCCATTCCGATTGCCTTCAAGTCATTCTTTCCACTGCCCAGTCCAGCCCAGTTGCTGCATCCTGGTAAAATTCCCCCTTCCCTGGATTCGAATCAATACAATCTACCCTTGATTTGCTATCCTCCCACCGAACTGATTGGTAAAAGTTTCCATTTTTAGGGGTTATGCGAGATTTGTGAATATTAGAGATGGCCGAGGAGCCACACCTCTGCATTTAGCTGCCCGTCAGAAACGTCCTGAATGTGTTCATATATTGTTGGACAACGGTGCTCTTGTTTGTGCTTCAACCGGTGGATATGGGTAAGCTTATTTTCTTCCTCTCAATCAAGTTGATGTAGTAACCTTTCCATCTCTTCTCCTGCTCCTCATGTATTGATTTATGTGGGTTCTTTTTCTCTCTGCTGCAACCAGCTGTCCAGGAAGCACTCCTCTTCATCTGGCGGCCAGGGGTGGGTCACTTGATTGCATCCGTGAGTTGCTGGCTTGGGGGGCCGATCGTCTTCAAAGAGATGCATCTGGGTGTGTATACACGCCTATATAGTTTCCCCGTCATTTGGTTTAGTTCTTGTTTCAATCTTAAAGTTTGGCCTCTCTGATGATTTTCTCCCATTTACAGGAGGATCCCTTATGGGGTTGCCTTGAGGCACAAACATCCAAACTGTGCAGCACTGTTAAACCCTTCATCCGCAGAGCCTCTAGTATGGCCATCGCCTTTGAAGTTCATCAGTGAGCTTAATCAAGAGGCAAAAGGTTTGTTAGAACGCGCCTTGATGAAGGCGAACCGGGAAAGGGAAAAGAGCATCTTCAAAGGATCATCTACCTGTTCAGATCATTCTCCACAGATTGCTGATGCTGAGGTAGATGACAATGCATCAGAGGTATAAATCCTAACCTCCCTCCATTTGAAATACCCTGAGGGTGTGTTCTGTTCAGTTTATGTTGCCGATGCCATTTGTGTCAATTGCATACTATTGCAATGTTTCTCTCCAAATACACCTTAAGCAATTGAACTGTAAGCTGATTTGGAATAATGGGAATGCAGGTAAGCGATACGGAACTATGCTGCATCTGCTTTGAGCAGGTGTGCACGATCGAAGTCCAAGACTGCGGTCACCAAATGTGTGCACATTGCACGCTGGCCCTCTGCTGCCACAACAAGCCTAATCCGACAACTGCATCGGTGACACCTCCTGTGTGCCCTTTCTGTCGAAGCACCATTGCCCGTCTCGTGGTTGCAAGAGTCAAGATCAGTGAAGATGCTGCTGATGAAAGCCTTGGAGGGTTTGGCTCCCCAAAGCTGAGAAAGTCATGGAAGTCGCGAAACTTGAGCGAAGGAAGCAGCAGCTTCAAGGGGCTGTCGGCAAACTTGGGGTCATTTGGGAAAATGGGAGGCCGTGGCTCGGGAAGGATTGCAGCAGAGAATGAGTGGATGGACAAACCATGCCAGTAATAAGAAAGGTAAAGAAGCCATGGATGATTGGGAGAAAGAAGAACCACAGCACAATCTGGTAATCAAAGATTCCCTATATTGGCAATCAAAGCTTTCTCCTTTTTGTTACTTGTGGCCAGCCACTTGCAATGAAGTAATTCCCTTAACAACTGTTGAAGAGATCTCATTGGGAAGTGGAGGGGGTTGTCGGTGAAGGACCCATTTGTTGTATACATAAAAATATAAAATAGATAGGGGGAAGTGAAGGAGTGGGGGAGGGTCCAATTTGGTTAAGAAATTGTAAAATTGGGGAATAAGCAAAGTTGATGAGAAATTTGGGTATGGGAAAAGGAGATGGGGGCTGGTTGGTGAGTTTGGTGAAGATAGAGTTGAAGTGTGTCTCTGTGGGTTCCTTTATTTGTTGTAATCTATTGGTTTACTTGAGATTGAAGCAGCAGCATTTGCTGCTCTTTGTTGTTGGATTTGGTTTACCTGATTTGGTATGGGGCAAAAGAATGAATGCAATTCTTGTGTAGATTTTGTGAAATAAATAAAGGTAACCAAAAGCTTGGAGCAAGATTATTTGATGCAGACATTGTTCCGGATGCACGTATGCTAGTGGAGAGTGGAAATCGATCCGATAGATAAATGAATCATTGATTATCAAGTTGAATGAAATGTAATTGGAAAATCCCTATCACAATTTAATCCCGAGTGAGCGAATATCCATAGTTATTGCAGTCAAGAAAGAGAGGTGATTTATGGACCCTTATAGTAATAATAAATGACGCTTTTGATTTGGTAAATGGGAAAATTTGCTGGCGTGCTAGACGAGTTAGAAGCAGTACATAGTGGACCGCCATTGTTAGGAAAACTCAAAAAGCAGAGTAGGAAAGAAGTCAAAGGCATAATAGGGTTTTCCAGTGATCTGACTTGGTCGCCTTTCATTTCTGGAAATCAGTTAGTTGAGTGTAGTAGCAGCCGACAGGAGCAGCCATCCTTCTCTAGTTCTTAAGGTTGAATTGCTGGATTTATTTTAATCCTAACTGCTGAAAATTCTGGCAAGTTGGAAACGTGCACTATTTTATTTTATTTTATGAGAGAGATGTTGAACAGTTGTTTCACTTTTCCCTTTTCTACATGTACGGAGAAACATACTTAAGGTAGATACGTAGATAGAAATTGTAGAATGTTTTTGTTTCTGCTGCTTGTGACCGGAGCGGATTGTTAATACGATTTGGATCTATTTAACATATACTTAGTGTTAACGTAAAATTTGTACGTTAACACCGTTCGCAAGATGAACAGAACTCGCGTCAATCCGTTTTGGTTTGGTCCGAGGAAACCTACCCCGTTCATAAATATCCTTGATATATTATTAGGGGTCAAAGAAACAAAAATTAACTAGTGAATGCGTATGATGTCACTTTCACAGCACAATCCAGTCATCCGTCCTAGTTTGAAAGGTAGAGTTATGTCGACCAAAAACAGACAAAAAGAAAAAAACAGAATAAGAGAGAAGAAGCGGGAAATATACAATTTGTCAATCTAATTGCCAATGGAGGCAGAGAGCAGTTAAGGAGTTCACGTGATTTGTCTTTCTTCCCTAAGCACGGAACAGAAGGTGTCATTTGCGATAAAAATGAATACAGTCCATGGCTCCTCTAAGAACCCGACCCAGCAGCAGCTCACCCGTATTAACAACTGCCTACTTCAGAAATTCGACAAGACCATGGAGGAAATGCCTATGATACCACCGTATGAAATGGCGGATCGAGAAATTTTATATAGGATTTATGCTTCACAAATTAAATTAAAATAATAATTAAAAAATATCCTACTAATACAAGTCCAACAAAAAATCTTTTAATTCACATAAAATAACCGATCATTCTTAACATAATAATAATTCTTAAGATCCTAAAAAAGAAAATAATAAGAAACATTATCAAACTTTTTGGGATAATATCACGGTTTAGAATGTGATGGGGATAAGAGGTAGCCCGTGTTTTAATTTTATATTTTAGAAAAGTTGAGGGTAAGGGCTACGCGTTTATAGTTACATTGATGTTAAAATCACAACAATAAATGGAGTGTAGTAAAATGAAAAATATGTGTACTAATAACGTTATTTGATTTCCATTTTCGCTTACTCAAACTACTACTGGGGTTTTGTTAATTTTTTTCTCCAAATTTTAAGGGTGCCCCGACACACTCCTACACACCATCCATGTCTACCTCAGACTATGTGGGTTGTATATGTATCTGGCTACTATGTCGTGTTAGGCCGGCACATTACATGCATGTCTCAAACTCGTTTATTTCGTGTCATATTTGGTAATGATTCGTCAATTTTCATGCTTGTTTTGGCAAGGTTAAGGGGGTATGAGTTCTTCATTATGGACACTTTTGCCAAGTGTGTGGAGTATATTATGGCAGTTGGTGATTCCCCCAAAGGGACGTGTAAGTTTATTTTTCAAATTTGCTCGATCAGGTTCTTGACAGGACATGGTTTGAATCGTACTGCGTCTATTTGCGTCGCAGTTACATTCGTGATTAATGAAAAGTAGGAATGACAATGTTCAACTCGACCTGTAAGGTCAGTTTTAGGGGGTCTGTTTTAGGGCAAGTAATACCGCCCTTATATGTGGGGCAGGCGAGCATGGGTAATAGCTTCAACATGACCTGCACTCACCTGTCCCACTATCGATCCACTTTATCTATATACTTTTACTCAAATTACTTGGTAATTTATGTTTAGTACATCATATTAGCTATAATAAATTTGTAATTAGAAGAAAATCTTCATTTCTCAAAAATAGTTTGTTTCTCAAAATTTTTAATATCAAAATAGTTTATCTTTTCAAATACATACACGTATAGGTCAACCTGCCTCAACTAGCATCTCAAAAGTAAAATACCCGGCTTGGACCGAGGCCACAAGACCCTCGAGATACTCTCCGTGACTTGCCCCATTGTCATTCATAATGAAAAGAAATAAAATAAAACGGAAATGAAAAAGAAGAAAAAAATTAGTGGAAATGAAAGTATTAATTAGGTAGGTTTTAGAAAAGTAACAAATCAAGGGAAGAAGAAAAATTGAAATAGCGGAAATGATTTAACAATGCTTTTTGAATTATTTTCGAATGTTTTGATTTAGAGTGGTTATTACAATTAATATTTTTATGATTAGTTCTAAAAGCAATAATTCATTATTTGTGTAGTTATATTTTTTGTACTCGTAATTATATATATATATATAGTTGACTACTTCGGTGCACTCACAAAAATGAGTGCGCTCAATGCACCCAACTCAAAAACTAGTCTTAAGGTGTCGGATTTTGAATTTTAATTTGTAGAATTAGTGTAATATGATGATATGACAGATGATAACAACTAATTAGTGGATTACCCTAAGCCCTTAACCTCCAATTTTGAGTTCTATCCCTAAACCCCAAATTGTAAACCCTAACCCTAACCCTAAATCTCTAAACTCTAAATCCTTCAAATTAAAGTAAATCTTCAATGGTTTTTGTGCAAATTCATGTGCGTTATTGTTCATCACATCATAAGTGATGAATGGCATCATTTTGACATAAATCGCATGTTTAAAATGACGGTTAGGAAGTGAGTGCACTGAATGCACCCAAAAAAGTGAGTGCACCGAAAACGTCACCATATATATATATATATATATAAGTATATTTTCATACTTTGTCGTGCCTAAATAGGGTTTTAAAAATATTAGCTCAGCCAGACCCACTATTTCCTTGTTCGCATCCTTCCTCGTGCCAGTGCACATGAAGCTTATGGTCGGCACGACTCATGAAGTATTTTTGCTCGTACATTGTCGTGCTAACTCGTGAATGACCGGTCTGATGTCGAGTTCTCAGCTTTATTTGAATGTTTGCAAATTGGAAGATCAAATTCTCAAATATGAACCAAAGGCGCATCTAGTGTAGTGGTATCATAGTACCCTCCCACGGTACTGACCGGGGTTCGATTCCCCGGATGCGCATTACGTAATATTTTCATAAATACAATTTTTGTTGTTGATCTTTCAATGTATTTAAATGTTCTAACAAAAAGAAATTGCAAATATATATGCAATTTGATAAATTGAATGTTTTTTTGTTGTTGATCTTTTGATATATTAACATGATCTTTCAATGTATTAAATGTTCTAACAAAAAGAAATTGCAAATATATATGCAATTTGATAAATAGAATGTTTTTTTATCTTTTGATATATTAACCAAATGATGTTTTTTTTTAACAATCAAATCCGAATCACAATAAACAAATAACTACGTGTCTATCACAGAATTCAATTGAGACAAATAACATCAGTGTACAAACATATTGAACCAAATACACCCTAAAATTAAATGATACTTTCATTAGAGCGAGTCTCAAATGAATTCAATTTCTTAACCAATTTCATTAGAACCTTACTAGCCACAACAGCTTAAATCCAATTTTGGTTTGTGTAGGACTACGATCACAAAAGATGATAAAAATATGTATATCGATGGGTTTTCAAAGTCTCAAAATCAGAATTCTTAAATCCAGCCGAGAGAGCTCTCGGCAACAGTTCATCCATTCTGTTATAAAACAATATCCTTAACAACTAACTAATAATGCGATACTTAATCGATAATATTTGTAGCATCTGAAAAGAACCCATTTTTGTGGGCTGTTGGAGCCACTAGTCAACCAGGCCGCTTCCTCCTTTACCCCTAAAACTATACATTTTGCATCAGAGCCATGTGACAGTCAGTGTGCTAGTACTGGAGTCTTCTACTGCTGATCTCACCAGTTTGTCCTTCCACTCACCTACTAGCCTGCTCACATTTGCCTCAAAACTGATGGTCCTATATTATATATCTACTAAGAAGCCAATTACTGCATAATTCATGCACAAAATACATTGACAGTGAACTGGGAAGAAAGCACACCAGACAGGAAATAACAGCAGGAAAATCCAATGAGCTAGTTGGAAGGAGCTAAGAGGGTTTGATGACACACACAAGAAAGCCATTTAAAATGGCTGAATTTGGCACTTTCAGAACTAAGTGATGACACACAAAGAACTAGCTCATTAGGGGCGCATAAACAGATACTATGGTAGAGCATTCTCGGGCTTTAATTTCTGCTGCGTCCAGTGAGATCTTCTCTCCACTGCAAGAAAGTGGCCCAGAGATGGACCACTGCCTGCATTGTTGTTCAAGCGTCGAACGGGGTCTTTTGCACACAAGGAGAATAACCATGGTTTCGATCCGCAACCCTTCTTCTCCTTCACTGGTTCCTTGATCTTCTTCTTTCCCCTCGTCGATTTCCTGGACAGTTCTAAGATGCTGGAAGCCCCAATGAGGCTACCCAATGTGATGCTCTTATCATGGAAGAAAGACCCTGTGGACTGGGGGACACAAAACACACATTGGTTTTGCTATTACAGATTAGATTTCCAAGTCAAACTGTCCAGCTCCACAAATGTTAAGTTATTATAATGAAAGATAACATTCTTTAACGAGACAGCTCCAACAACTCAGTAACTACTTCTGTTTCTAATCTGATTGAGGTTGAAACTCATCAGTTCTTTCTACTAGTACTCAAATTGTTTGAGAGTACTGTAGCGATGCATTATTGATTGGTCTCAGAAGAAATATCTGAAGAAATATGTATGAAAGGATATTGATGGAGATGGCTGTTTAGCTGTCCAAAACCCACATGGGCTAACTGCAGGGACACGTCTGCTACTTGGGATGGATGCCATGCCACTATTTATTCAATCAACACCAGAAAATTAAGATCACATCAGCAAAAACCAAACATCTGACAAGTTCCCAAACAAACGACGGTGACATCCTCAGCAACACATCATCAGTCCCTCCACTCACTGTGGCCACAGGTTGCAGCCTGCTCACTTGTGGGCTGCCTCCCTTGAATTGACACTATTACTGTCCTCCAACTCTTGACCAACTCTTTAGTCCAGTACCAAATTCTACCAATTTCAAGAAAAAGATAATCCCAAATTCCATGATACCCTCTAAGAAGGCGCATATTGACATTGTTGGATTGCCTCGTACTGCCGTACATTCTCATGTGTCGGGTCATTTGGGCTAGACTTATTTATGAATGATTTTATCGCATTAATCTGACAACTAAAAACGCACACAAGCAAGAACATGACAATCCAACTATGTTAGCACGTGCTGCTAAATGCATCCCTTTCAAGCTAAATGACAGCTTTCCAGGGTTGGGGCACCCATCTATTCCCAATTAGTCCCTAATTTGGCCGTGTTTAAGAAACAAACATTTTGGGCAGAGTTCAACTTCACTAAATGGGGGAAGAAAACAAAGGGACAAACAAAAGCCAAAGGTGGGGCAAGTATAATCTCCTGTGTACCAAATCACATGACTCCAACATCCTCAAAATGTAGACTGAAGTGGAAACTGAAAACACACAGGACCGATGGCAGCAGCACCATAGCTAAAGGAAAGTGTCCTCCTTTTTTGTTTACTGCGCAAGGTTAAAAGGAGGTATAGATGATTTTCGAAGGGCACTGTGTGTTGTTCACTGACCTCGGTGTCCAGACCAGAAGAGGAATCTGATTCAGAGCAGGTGGGGGAAGCAGTGAGTAAAGTGTTGAAGGAGACCGACCCTGTGGCGACTCTCGCATTCAGGGGCTGCAACTGTGACCGCAGTGGCCACCCTTCCTCTTCCTATGATGAACGCAAAAATCAGAAACTAATGTTGCGAAAAAAGAACGGAAAATTGAAGGAAGAGTAGTACACTGTGCAGTGATTCAGAGGTGGGAAATCAAACAATGAGAAAAGAACAAATGCTGGAGAAATGACTGATTTAGACCCAAGATAGAAATGGAAGACAGAGGACTCGTACAACCTGCGGTTGAGCCATGGATTGCAGGTATCCCGAGAGAGAGAAGAGGAGGTTTTCCAATTTACTCCCCCTTTTATTTCCTTTTGGTGGGATTAATTGATTATGGTAACAAGGGGAAAAGGCAGGTAAATGAGGTCATTTCTACTGCTGCCCATCATTCCATCAAGCATATTGATGATGAGTAGAGTTGACCCAGAAGAGCATTGTGGGTGATCAATTCGAGAAATGGGCGAGATAGGAATGAGGACGTTGGACAAAGGGTTATTAAAGGGTAGTGAAAATGATTAAGAGGCAGGTTCAGATAGTCTTGGATTCGAGTCCTGGAAGTCATTTGTTGTTTTTTTTTTTTTGTCCATAGGTATCCTGCGGGGAACAACGCAGATACGAAAATATACAAGAACATTGTAGGAAGGGGAAAAAATTGGTCCACAAGTGTATGAACCAACGATTTAAAGACCTTTATTGCAATGGAATGGACATACATGCTATACTTACGAGGCGAGAAAGGAAACGTAGCACGCTAAAATGATGATCGAAGTACCAAAACATCTTACAGGATAGCCCCTCCCCATCGGATGCGACAAAACCATTGTGTTGGCCATCAGAACCGTGGCGGAGGAAGGTGGTGAGGAGTGGGGTCGTAGGACCCCACTTGGTAAATAATTGGACAATAAAATCCTTTAAAACCATAGGGTTTAGTATGATTCTTCATGTTTAGCACCCCATACTCTCGTTGATGTTAGTTCAGCTAAGGACCCCAATCAATTCAAAGTTTATTAGATACACATGTTTTAGTTTTAGTAAATTTTTAAGAAGCCCAATAAACTGAAAGTCTGGCTACCCCACTTCATCAGAACAAGTGATTTGTTATTATTTTGGTGATCACAAACACACTATTTGCTTGTTTTATGAATTTGGCTAGTATGGGCTTCAATGATCATTGTGTTCTCTAAAGTAGGATGCTTTACCCAAGCGACATATACTTAGGAAATTAGTTGACTAGGAAAAACTAAAAAAGTGAAGAACTTTTGGAAAGGAAACAACCCAATAACGCTCTCTGCTTCCTCCCACCCAGTTTAACTTGGTTTGATTTTTTGGGTAAGAACTAAGAAGAAGCAAATGAAGCTGGATTTGGTTGTTGGGTAAGGATGGGTTTCTCTTAGTAGAATGGAATCAAATCATTAAAGCCAAAACCTCTGCCCACTGCCATTATTGTCATTCGCAATGCGTCTCCTCACCAGAAAAGAAGGAGCCAGGGGCATGTGAATTTGGGGTAAGCGGCGCCAGTGATATTATTAATGGGGGTTTGGCTGCTGGTATCGTGGAAGGCACAAGAACAAGATTTGATGAGGAAGGGAACAGAGACGATGATGGCCGCCTAACGGGAAACTGGAAAGTCGCTTTCTGTGACTGTGACTGACATGGATAAATAATGGCCAAAAAAAATGGCATGGATCAAATTGTGTTATTGTCTAGATCCGTGGCATGGCCTGGCCCAACTTCGGAATTGGTGAGTTAAAGAGCAGTCCAATTCACAGCCTGATTCGGAATCTGAAATAACGAATTGTGGTCTATAGACTCATTAGACTGTACCCTTTATCGGACTACCATATAGCCCATATGTTGCAAATGGGCATTTACGCATACAACTCAGAGCCCATCAAGGTCACCAGATATCCACTAGCGATGTTTTCACATTCTTTATCAAGTTTTGTGTTTTCGGGTTTGATTTCTAAGTTGAATCGTATGGACATTCACGCTACAATATGCAAGAAGTCGTTGAAGAACTAAAGATTGATGACTAGATAATTTAGTTACTAAGCTATAATGGTTGTTTATTTGAATACTTTCTGTAATGGGTTGTCATTGACATGTGTTATACATATTGATATGTATAATTTAGGTTTTTATAAGGAAAGTACATTGTTTCTCTCCAAGCATCGATATGGTATTTACATAAAATCACGCTTATGACTGCATTGATCTATTTCTACCATCAGTTACCATCCTCTAACAAGGTGGTGGATGATAATATTTTATCCTGAATTATTTTTATAAAAATTTGTAGGTCACAATAGATCGCAATGAAACCTTTCTTTCTGTGCAATATTTTTTAAAGTTTGAGTAAAAAATGAAGATGGTACAAAGTGGTGTAAAGGTGGTACGAAATATTTCTTGAAATAGATAAAAAAAAATGAATATAATTTTGTAGGTCACAATGAATTTAACTCATTTCATATGCGCAACTTCTTTAAAATTCAGATTAAAACAATGAAAATACAATTCAATTAAAAACTTAGGAAAATAACCAAAAATCTTTTAGTCTCACCCTGTTTATCTTATTCCATTCAAAACCAAAGATTGTAAAATCGTACTACGAGTTGCACATGAAAAGTTAGTGATAGAGTATTTTATGTTGAAATCGTGGTTCAACCATTTAATACCTCTAACTAACGCCTACCTGTTTAGACTCCAAATAGAGGATTTTCAATCGAACTTCCAGTACGGTAAGTTTTCCCAAACCCTCCTCAAAACCAATTTTTTCATATCTAAGTATGCACCCTATGGTAGACCATGACATTTCCCATGGTTGTCATGCCCATGGAATGCCGGCAAGTTGAACCTGGTCTAATCGATACTGGTCATGAAATTGGCGTGAATACCACTGATAAGAACGACATGATCGATTTTCGACCTATAAATAAAATGATGTCGCCTTAGTTAATTAAATTAAAAAATAATTGATTTATGATTTATTTCATGAATTTAAAAGTTAAATGTTGATGTCATTAGTTGTATTCGAGTATAAAAGTTTGAGTGTTTGAGGTTAAATATTGTATTTAAATATTTATATTTGTTAATTTGTTTGAAATATTGTATTTTATTTAAATATGAATATTAGTTATAAATAAATTTTATTCAACTATGTTTAATATGTGCTTAAATTCATTTGATGTTAATGATTATTCATTTTATTCATATTTTTATTTTGAGAAAAGACAGGTGCAGAAGGGCACAATAACCCTTATTATTAATCATACGAGGTTCAGATACCTTGATAACGTCACGAAATAACTAGTTATACAAATCACGCTCCTCAAGATCAATCACGGAGCATCCCATTAAATTCTTGTGACCCCAGTTTGGTAAGAAATCAACAACACAATTTTGTTCTCTATATATGTGCCGAATATTAACATCGTCAAATCATGAACCAATAAAAATCAATTATATCACGAGTCGAACCATACCATTTGTTAAATCAACATAACCGTACATATTTCCTATTTTCATTTACGTAACACCAAAAAAAGGGTTACGTGGTAGTCTGGTAGAGTTACAATTTTGTTTTTAGTGAAAGTTGCCCTAGAAAGTAGAAAGTGCAGTAAGGCTCAAGAAATTGATGATTGTCAATTGTCAAAGTGGTGGAGAGACTAGAGAGTGCCTAAAAGAGTCAGATTTTCCTATCATATAGCCGTCGACTGAGGAGGGGCGTTGAATTGATTTGATGATGAAGAGACAAAAGTCAATAAAAATAGAAGAAACAAAAACAAAAACAAAAATGAAGGACCCATCAAATTCCCAATTTCCCAACACTCCATGTCTCCATCTCCTCTCCTCGGCTCATGGAATCCAAAGTTTTCTTTCAGTCTTCCAAAGTCACCAGACTCCCATGGCTGTCATTAACAAGCCGGCCGCAACCAAAAGTAGGGGTGTCTATTTGATCCGACCTTCTTGGTTTTACTCGAAATCGGACCGTATAAATTGGATAGCAAACAATTCAATCTCATATTCGGATTTACGTTTGAGGTAAAAAAAACTCGTTTAGGACCGGACCGAAAACCATATAAAGACCGGATAACAAAGCGCAACACCCAAAACTTAACCAAGTCTTCAGCTTTTGAGGCCTCAGGCCACTCAAATCCCCACAAGCTCAATCTAAAATCAAGGTTGAATAGGGACAAGACCCGGTGAAGACCGGAGTGTATCCAATCCAATCTTTGATCCTTATATTCTCAAAAAAACCGGACTGAGACCGGATCAATTTGAACCAATTTAACCGGATCGGACCGTATAACCACCCTTAACCAAAAGGGAGAAATACTAATTATTTCGTGGTTGAAAGTAATTCCCATACGGTTTTATCGAGTTAAATCGCGACTTTCTTCTTTGTTTTAATACACGATTAGCATTATCAACTCCGAATCACCAAAAAAAAAAGCATTATCAACTCTGAGGCAAGGATTAGTTGAACAAATGCTTACGTCCTCGTCCTCCAGACTGATCATTTATGTATGTTCCTATTTCGAACCGCCCCAACCACTACAGTTGTCTTGCTCTTACCCGTTCATTGGATTAGTAAAAGCCCACTTGTTACTCACTGTGCTGCTGTGCATTAACCATTAATACGATTAAATAAAACGCGCTGAAACGCACCAAATCCGTAACGCCTCTTTCTCTTGTCTTCAAATCAAAACCCACCATTATATGCAAAATCTCAGTTGTTGGGAATTTGGTGTGTTATTATTATTTATTGTAATGCATTTTGTCAGCCAACAGAGAGATCTATTCTTAATTGTAGTAGTTCCTGCCACTGCCAGCTTCTTTCCATTGCAGTTCCGTGTGCAACGCTACCAAAGTGCAATTATGAAAATGCCTGTCTGGGAATCCCATTCGGATGACACATTTATACTTGAGATTTAACCAGAAAATGTTTCATGCATGGAAGATTTGTTGACTTGTTGTAATAGCGTTCGGATATTTTATGAGTTATGACGCCAGAACCGTTTTTACCTTAACGGCCAGTCTCATTAGGAATAAAATTTCCTTATAGAAAAAATTGAAAGCCGGAAAAAATAGAGCAGATTAGAGATAATAATTTAAACCCGCATCGTCGGGTAAAATAACGAACTAGCTAGTGGACTAGTAAATGAATGTGTTTTGTCTGGTTTCATATTAAATCATTCGGTTCATCCTTACCATCCAAGTAAATGGTCGAACCGCTATTCTAGCTGAATTGGTGGTTTTACTAGTCCAGCTGGTGATCCGATTCGGTTCTTATTACAATGGTATGGGCCGATCTGACTCATGTTGGAGCGGGTACTGCCCGACCCACAGTAGCATAGGACGGGACATGAATTATTATTTTTGACCCGACTCATCTCACCCCACTCCATTCTTGACCCATTCTATTTTAATTTTCCTCGATTTATATTTATATTTGTCATATTTTAACTTTTCTTCAATCATATTTT